TCGGCTCGATTCCGTCTCTGGTGGAGAAGCCGACATGCAGGAGCGATCGACACCAGCGGGAATTTGGGGAGGAGGCGTGCGCTGGGGTTACGTCATGGAAAGGGAAACATTTTTCAGCGTGGAGGCGGTTGGAGGGAGGACAGTGCGCCGGATCCCACAGCGGGCCAGGTCGGGGGTTTTAGACGCGCTCTATTGCATCCTTAAGCGCTTGAAGAGCCAGCCGGGAGATGAAGCCGCTACCCTCCTACTCTTGGCGTTTCCGCGCCTCATCCTAGCCATGCCTCCCAAGCCAGGCATAGGTCAGAAGGCGCTGATCACAGAGCGGTTGGGTGCGTTCTGGGAGGGGAGGTGGCGGGAGCTGTTCGATTCTGCCATGGTGGCGGCGCGGCGAGCAGTTTGCCCACTTTCCTACACTTGCTCTGACCAGGACCCGGATGCCATCCGCCTGTCACGGAGCCGATCTCGGTGCAAAGTGGGGGAGTGGAGCCGTGGATTGGCCTGCCTTACAGCAGGGGAGTTGGCTCGACCGTCTGAGGTCATGGTGCAGTCCGCTGCGAGAGAAGCACCCAGCTAGCGCTGGCGAGGTACCACAGTGGGTCCGCGATTTCACTATCGATACTGCTCAGCGGCCTTCACTCACGACCGACATCCTGGCCAGAGCTATCCATACAGCCGCTCGAGCTTCAGCAGCAGGGCCATCGGGGTGGGTCACAGAGCATCTCCGCGACACCTTCCTCACTGAACCTTCCTGCCTTTCCCACTTGTTGGAAGTGTTCAACCAATGGGTGGCAGGACAGGTCCCCGAGCGGGCTCGGCCGTGGCTCGCCGCATCCAACCTAGTCGCGCTTTCCAAGCTTAACGGCGACGTCCGGCCGATGGCGATCGGGGAGGTGCTTCCTCATATCCTTGCTCGAGCTCTCTGCATCTCGCTCCGCCCTGCAATGGTTTCCTACTTCCTGCCGTGCAACCAGCTGGGAGCGGGCACCAGTGTCGGGGCGGAGATTCTCACTCACTCTTTCCGGTCAGCGCTGGCCACTCACCCGACTGGTGTGCGCTACAGATAGACGTCGCAAACGCCTTCAATTCGTTTCACCGTCATGTGATGTTCGATGGGCTGGGGGAGTCGCCTTTCTCAGGGATGATCCCATTCTTGCGTGTCTTTTATGGGACACCTAGCGACCTGTACCTCCGAGTAGGCCCTTTCGTACAGAGCCTCGAGTCAGCACGGGGATCGAGGCAGGGGGACCTGCTTGGCCCTTTTCTTTTCGCGTTCACTCAGCAGCAGGTGATGGAGCCGGTTATTAGGGAGTTCAAAGACCTGCTTTTCTCAGCTATGCAGACGATACCTATATTTTGGGGCCAGCGGCTAGGATTCTGGAGGCTTTTGGGGTGCTTTAGGAGCGTTGGAGTGGGTGGGGCTGGAGGTGCTGGCGCACAAGTGCCGGTTTTGGGAGCGCGAGGGCAAGGAGGTGGAGTGGGCACTGCCATTGGGGATGCACCGGGTGGATGAGGGTCTTACTGTGGTGGGCGCGCCTATTGGAGAGGAGGTTTGGGAGGTGGTCTGGCTACGGGAGCGGCTTCGACAGTTGCACGCGCCACTGCCATGGCTCCCCTTGCTCGACCACCCCCAGATGGCTTCACACCTCCTCGCCATTGCAGTTTCAGCGCGGCCGATGTACCTCGCCCGGACTATGCCGCCGCGTCCCGAGGTAGTCGAGGCTTTTAGGGATTGGGACAAGCTGTTTAGAGGATTGCTTTGAGCAGCTTTTTCCACCTGGCACTTGGGAGCAGGACCCCGACCGGTCTAGGCGCGCACGCATACAGCTGCATCTCCCTGTGCGTCTCGGAGGGTTCGGGATCCGGGCGGCGGCCTCTTGACCCGTGGTTTGTCAAGGCTCTTGAGCAGCTGCCAGCGCCTATCCGCCAAGAGATACCGGGCTTACCTCTGTGTGTAGCGGCCCCTCCTATTCGGCTTTTCCAGGCGCGGCAGCGGCAGTTAGCTGTAGAGGAGCTCCAGGCACTGCGCCGCTTGGCTCGTGACGATGCCACCTTGGCCCGTTTCACATCCCTTCAGGGCCCGGGGGCAGGTGCATGGGTTTCGGCGGTTCCGGCTCACTCAGATCTCACATTCACTGCAGCTGAGTGGGGCATTGCTGCTGCTATACGGCTCTGCCTCCCAATCCAGCAGCTGCAGGTGGCGGGGAGGTGTGTTTGTGGCACAGCGTTTGTTGACCCAGCAGGGCCGCACCATGCCCTGAGATGCAGGCATCAGCATGGTCCTTCTCGGGTGCATGATGAGGTGAAGTTTGCGGTGGCGAAGATCTCTAAGGCGTTGGGGGGGGGGGGGGGGGGGGGTGGTGGTGACAATGGAGGATAGTGTGATGCTGCATGGGAAGCGGGTTGATGTGGCGGTGCGACGTCCAATGGCTGGAGAGGCTCACGCCCTAGAGATCAGCGTCGCAGGCCCGCTATCGCTGTCTCCATCACTGCTTGGGACAGTGCGGGCGTCAAATAGGTGTGGCGGCAAGGGAGTGGGAGCGCCGCAAAACGAGTGACTACGCGCCTCTGCTTGCACGCAACCGGGGCGTGCAGTTCACCCCTTTGATAGTTGAGACGTGGGGGTGTATCGGCGGTCGTTTTCAGTGGTGGCTTCGTCAGCAGGGAGTTGCGCACGTGGGACTAGCTGTGTCGCAGGGGGCTTGTCGAGAGGACGACTCTGTGTTTTCGGCTTATCTTTTAGGGTCACTGAAGGCGCTCATCGGGGTGGCGTTACAACGGGCGCAAGCCCGTGTCATCCTGCTTCGAGCAGCGTCTTCCATGGGGGGGATTAACGTAGATTTGGTGGATCGGGAGAGGGACGATGTCGATGTGGAAGGCGGGGCTCTCTGGGTGGAGGCCACGTACATGGTCGATACGTTGATGTGATTGAAGGGGGGGGGGGGGGGGGGGGGGGATGGGGTGTGGGATGGGATGTCTTGATGGGGTGTCTTGACTGGGCGTTTTGATTGGGTATCTTAGTGGGGGTTTTATGTGTGCTGCATTTGGGTTCTTTTTGGCAGTTTCATTTTCCTTCTCCCTTTCTTTCTTCATTCCCTTTCCTTTTCAGAAACACTATGGCGGGCAAGGTTTAGGTCCAGTGGGTTTCACGAATGGCTGTAGGTGCTTCGGTGTCTATGCAGTAAACTGTGTGTTTCTGTTGAAAAAAAAAATTCTCACAGATGGGTGTGGTTGTTTAGGGTAAGTTTATTCTTGTTGTGTTCATATGATTTGGTTTTAGGGTGACTGAAACTCTGAACCAAATCCTTCCTGTCTATAACAAACTAATTCGAATAAGAAATGGACGAGACAACTGATAGGATGACTCTGATGGGCAATGGGAACTGGCCATCGTCATCCAAGTAAAACTCATGCTTCCTAGATGCGCTACACTACAACGGCAGGAACCTACTTTAGCCATCCTGGTGGACCATTATCTGCAGTTTGGCGCAATAGCCTATGCCCAGCTATGAAGCGTTCTCAGGCGGCGCATGAGAGATACACGGACTTGTAACCACTCCAGTAAACAAAGGGCAACACGGAGAGAAAGTTAGCGAGTTAGCAAGCCCCCCAGAGCACGGTTGGATGCACCAGATGAGTCAGAGGCGCACTGTATAAATTAAACAACGTAAATGTGCATGGAGCTTGAACTGGGGAGGTGGAGAAGAAAGGGATGATGAACACACCCTGCTGGGGCGAACTTAAGGGGAGGGCAGAAAGCGGCCATAGAAAACTTGCGACACCTGCTCACGACATGACATTTTTCGATCGCTCGATCCAGCAGCGACACCTGCTCAGGGCAGTGACTTTTTTTTTTTTTGTCTCTTCACTCGGATTTTAGAGGGACGAAACTCACCGGTTGGTCGGAGTGTGGGCCTCAAACTTCTTATTTTTACCGAACGCCCAGATGATGTTGTGAGAAGATGTGAACGAGAATGAATGACTAAGGAATGGAAGTGATACAAATATGCAACCCTAGAAATGTGTACCCCATATAGGCTACCCCACTATAGCCTACACAATATTATAATTTGATACACCCCCATAGGCAAAGTGGGGGAGAACAAGGGGTCACAAGACCACTCAGGCAAAGCAGACAAAGCTCAGGGTGGATCACAACGTCACCACACAGTCCGAGCACAAGGTCAAGGCCACAAGGCCAGTTCACATGCAGGAGTACACATATATATATATAAGGCTAAACAAGCAAGAGCAGGTATATATATATGTAAGAGTACAAGCAAGGTCAAGGGGTGAGCAAGTGAGGCAAGACAGGCACAAGACCCAGCTGAGTGCAGAAGCGCTGATGATCACAAGGCGGAAGTGCCTTGGTGAAAACATCAGCAGTGTTGGCCTCAGAGGCCACGTACGCAAGTCGCAACTGACCACGCTGCTGCAACTCACGAGCAAGAAAGTAGCGGAGAGCAATGTGCTTGGTTCTGTGCTCCAGGCGCTGCTCCCGACACAAGGCTAGCATGGCCTTGTTGTCTACGTACAGCACCGGAGGAGAACGAGGCGGCTCTCCGAGGTCAGTCAGCAGGTAGGTAAGCCAGCGAAGCTCCTGTGCAGCCATGGCCCCGGCGTAGATCTCAGCCTCACAACTGGAGCCGAGAACAGAAGACGAGCGAGTAGCCCGCCACGAAACAAAGCCGGAACCAAGGCTGAAGGTGTAACCCTGTAACGACCGCTGCGTAGCCAGGTCGTCTGCCCAAGAAGCGACCGCGTGCCCAGTGAGGACCACTGGACTCCGCCCTCCAAGCACTAGCCCCATGCCCGACGTACTGCACAAGTAGCGCAACACCCTCTTCGCTGCAGCCATGTGCTCTGGTTTGTGTCTCCCAGGAGCAACATAGCGTGCAAGAATGCTAAGAGGGTATGCAAGGTCAGATCGAGTGCAGGTCATCAGGTACATGAGGCAGCCAACAAGCTCTGGGTACGGGCCACTCGACTCTACGGACTCATCCGAAGGCAGAGCTGAGAGCGAGTGGCGAGTAGACAGAGGAGTGGCCTGAGGCGAGGAGTACGTGAAGCCGAAGCGCTGAAGGACCTACCGCACCATGTGTGACTGAGTCAGGGTAATGGTGCAGCGTGCTCTGTCCCGGGTGATCTGCAAGCCAAGGTAGCTGCGCAGTTCACCCAGGTCTGTGCACGTGTGTCTCTTCTGCAGCTCAGACTTTACGTGGGCGAGTCCAGTAGTGTCAGCTGTGGCAAAGACCAAGTCGTCGATGTACACGAGGATGTAGAACGGCGGCAGAGAGGTGTCGATGCGTAGAGACAGCGATGGGTCAGCAGTAGAGGGAGCAAACCCAAGAGCCGCAAGTGTAGTCCTCAGTGTGTCGTGCCACTCGCGCGGTGCCTGGCGGAGACCGTAGACTGGCCGTCGGAGGCTCCACTGGGTGCCAGGAGGGAAAGTCCCAGTAAAGCCAGGTGGATGGCGCAGCCAGATCTCCTCGTGCAGGCTACCCTGCAGGAAAGCAGTGCTGAAGTCAAGTGAGTGAAGCTCGTAGTCACGCTGAGCGGCTACGTGTAGCAGCACCCGAAGAGTGGTCATCTTCGGGGTGGGAGAGAAGGTCTGAAAGTAGTCAACTCCCTGCCGCTGACTGAAGCCACGAGCCACGTACCGCGCCTTGAAGACAGGTGGAGAGCCCGGCGGCCGCTTCACCCTGAAGATCCACATGCCACTGACGATGTTCGCCCCAGGAGGGGGAACCGCGTCAACGTAGGTGCCTGTGGACTTCCAGGAAGCCATCTCTGCATCCATAGCTGCCTGCCACTGAGAGGAGTAGGGACCCTCTACGGCCTCCGCGTAAGAGCGTGGAATCGGGATGTCTAGTGCATCCGCGTCTCCCTCAGGGGTAAGCAGTACGGACGCGAGATGAGGTGAAGCTGCAGCAAGACACTGGAACTCCTCCTGCCTGTCCTCAAGGACGTCCGTGCCAAGAGCACACTCACCCCCGACGGACGGAGGACAGACAGACGCAGACTCAGCAACAAGACTAGCAGCGTAGTCTAGACGACAGCGAGCAGCAAAGTCGACGAGCTCAGGAACAAGAGCAGACGTAGCAGTGGACTCAAAGGAGGGGTCAGTGACGACAGTAGCAAGGAGACGCGTGACAGTAGGACTGGCAGTACGAAGAGAGTCCGACTCAGGGTTGGCAAGCACAGGAAGAGAGGACTCAGGAGGAGAGGGCAAAAGGGCACGCAGAGGAGCAGTGGACGGACGCAGAGACATCCGGTGCGTGCCAGGGACAGGAGGAGGACGCTGACGCGAACTGCGACCACTAGTGTGAGCAGCACGAATAGGCGACGCAGGACGAGACGCAGGCTCACGACGCTCAGCAAGACCTCTAGTAGGACCAGTGTACGGAGAAGGAGAAGGCAGTGGGGAGACCGGTGGTAACTGCGACTGCGACTGGACAGGCGGTGGAAACTCTAAGGGAGGAGGAAGACCTAGAACCTGCTGAAGGAGCGGAACAAAGTACGGCCGAGGCCGCGCGGCGACTCCAGACACAGCAGGGAAAGCACCTGTACCCCCAGCGGCAACACCAGCGTTAACAGCACCTCCAGCTCCAGTACCTCCAGCAGCACCAGTAGCACCCGCAGCAGGACCGCCGCCAGGACTGGCAGCAGTAGCCTCAGCGCCAACACCCTCAGCAGCTCTGACTCCAGTAGCACTCGCAGGACTAGCACCTCTGAGACCGGCGGCACCAGCACCCTCAGCAGCCGAAGAAGCACCAGCTCCAGTAGTACACCTCCAGCGCCGGGCAAACCATTCGCGCAGCTCTTGTGGAGAGAGTGGCTCCCGCCGAAACGAAGCACCCGGAGAACCAGCAGGCCCAGCACCGCCAGACGCCACACGAGCAGGTCCAGCGGCCGCGGGCTCCGCACCCCCAGGCTCAGTAGCTCCAGACTCAGTACCCCTAAGCTCAGCAGCTCCAGACGCAGCACCCCCAGGCTCAGCACCCCAAGTCGTAGCACCCCCTGGCTCAGCACCCCTAGGCTCAGCACCCCCAGTCGCACCATCCCCAGACGCAGCACCCCCAGGCTCAGCACCCACGCGCGCAGCACCCCCAGAGTCAGCACCCCCAGGCTCAGCACCTGCAGCAGTACCAGAGTCACCAGCAACCTCGACCGGCTCAACTGCATCTACCTAGGAGACACCTGAAGGGGCAGGACCCTGAGGGGGGAGGGGGTCTACCGGGGGGGGACCTGGCAGAAGGAAGTGCGGTGGCGGGGGGAGGGAAGGAGTGCGGTAGGGGAAGAGGCGGTAGTAGGGTACTGACTCGTCGAACGTGACTTCCTGGGAGGACAGAACACGACGAGAGGTGGGGTGGTAGAACTGCCACCCAGGCGCGTCGGGGGGGAACCCCAGGAAGACACAGGGAGCAGCACGAGGGGACAGCTTGTCCGCAGACAAGTCGCGGACAAACGCCCGAGATCCCCAGACACGGAACGCAGGCGCATCGCCTACCTTCCTCGTCCACAGCAAGGCTGGGGAGGTCTCCGGTCTGGAGACCCTGGGGTGAAGGTTGATCTGATGCGCCGCGTACCGAACCACAAACGGCCACAGAAAATGGGGGGCAGCCGCATGCATCATGGACGTACGAGCGACATCCATGACCATGCCAATGCGGCGCTCAGCAATCCCATTTCGCTGTGGAGAGTCTGGAAGCGTAAAGGACCGGCGGATGCCTCGCGCACGACAGTAGGCTCGCAGAAGGCCAGAGGAGAACTCTCGGCCTCGGTCAGAGTGCAGACGCAGAACAGGAAAGTCCGAGCCGAAGCTCCTCCTGAGCTGAAGACGAGCTGCGCGGATCCAGTCGATCTACACCTCAGCTACATCACCCTTGCTGCGCAAGGGGAAGACAGTGGTGTAACGCGAGTAGTCG